CCCCCCCTTACAATCACATTCCATTGCTTTCAGTGTGTGAGAAGAGAAGATTCTCTTAATACCCTATTAAGGTTTCGCTGTATTAAGGCTACTGACGGTGCCATTAACGTTAAATATTTATACGATGTCAAAGTATAGCCTTGTCATAAGAGTGCCTGGTTTCAGAATCTTAACCCACTTGAGCCTGAGCTATTTTTCACCAACAACAATTGCAGCCTGACACTTTTGGGTTATATTGAAGTGTTAACCACAAACGACAGTGAAAGTTATCACACTTTTATAATGCTTCGAGAGAAAGAAAGAAAGGCTTTCACAGAAAAAGAAAACTGCATCTAATTTGTCTGAATAGTTTTTATTTTATCAATATTTTGAAATGGCAATGTCTGGAGGTTACGCAATTTTTTTGCGCGCAATTTTTGATAAAAATCATCTACCGCAGTGTGGGGGTGACTGACTTAGTCCGTCACTTCTCAAAAACTATAGCACATAACTTCACCAAATTTTAAACGAAACGAAACAAGTGGGTCAACTGTTAGGTCGCCGCTTGTAAAGGAAACACGAAGTAAATACACGGGATTAGGCCTCCGGGCTGGCGGGCGCCCTGTAAATACACGGGAATAGGCTCAAGTGAGTTAAAGGCAGTTTTCTACTCCGAGCTGTCCGCAGGGAAACGTGAAGTTGGCACAACAAAAGGGGTCACGAAGGCATCCTGAAACTGTCTCTCTTCAACACCGTTCTCTCGACATGGGAGAGCCTAGTTCCTGACAGGCCCAGATGGAGAGCAGCAATCACAGAAGGAGTCAAACAACACGACACTTCACGAAACAGAAATGCCGAAGCTAAGAGAGAAGCCCACAAGTTGAGCACATCCAAAAATTGGAAAGAAGCTTTCATTTAAATGCCTAAAATAATATGACAAACTCTTCTCTTCCAGGTCTCATTGCCAGAATCCTTCATTTTCTGGTGAAAAAGCAACGGACATCGTCGACATTGACGGACGAAATAAAATTAGTTAATTTGAAAAAATCAGCTTCGTTTTATTTAGCCTTGTCCTATCGGAGAAAGACGTCAGTTAGGATAATCTGACCTAGAGAAAACTTGGATTATGAATGACTGTATATCTTTATTCAATATGGCAAACACGTGTGAACGAAACAGCAGATATCTACGGGTTAATACTCTTATGACATTTCTTCAACTTGGACGAAATCGTTACTCCACTGCACTCTTTAAAAAATAAATGACAATTAAAATGTCTGACGTTTGAAGGTTAAAGACGGGATTGACAGTTTTGGTTTGGAATCACTGACCAATTCTTAATAGGCGTGTGCCCCTCTTTGCTATCCTAGAAAATGGCTGATGTCTCATCGCATGTGAATACGAGATGAGCACATCATCATTACTGCGAAAAATACACGCGACCCCACGAAAGAAACTAACGTCACCGATTAATGTGGGGATTGTACGTAAACGCATTTTGAAAACATAATCGGTTTGTCGTAGGCGTCATTACATACTCGTCCATATCAAAATACTTACCTGGGGCCACTAGAGATGCCGATTTTATGCGAATAAAGACATCAAGTGGCATCCTACAGTCTACAGTATGGTTTTATTGTGTTTCGTTATTGCATTTCCTGTCTTTATTTGAAAAATAACGAGTGGGCAAGTCATGGTTTTGTTTTGTTTTGTTTTGTTTTGTGTGTGTGTGTGTGTGTGTGTGTGTGTGCGTGTGTGTGTGTGTGTGTGTGTTTCTGAGCATGCGAGTGTATGTGTTAGCATGCCTGTGAGTGTGTGTGAGTTTGTTTTTGTGAGTGTGTGTGTGCGTGTGTGTGTGCGTGTGTGTGTGCGTGTGTGTGTGTGTATGTGTGTGTTTGGGGGGTGGTGGTGGTGGAGTGTTTGTTTTGTTTTGGTAAGTGTTTTACAGCGCTTGCAACTGCATTAGGTCATATGAGCACCCGGGACACATTAAACATTTTAGTTTGATTGAAATTAAATTTGAACTTTGCCTGGGAGGGGGCGATGCCTACTCTTATCGATTTTGGACCACCAAGGGATTCTAACGAGCGCAAATTGCACACGGGACCTCCGAGATTTTTTGCCCATGTCCGAGAAGGATAGGTGCTAGATCTTACCTACCTCAAGACCTGGGGTGTGGTGGCCGAAATACAGCAGTAAGAAAGAGCCAAGGAATAGAAGTTGCAGAATATAAGGCTGCAGAAAGAGTCAGAACCCCAGAGGAGGGGGCAAATGGAGAGGGGGGGGGTGGAAGCAGAAAGCGGAGACGAAAGCAGACGACAGAGAGCTGGAAAGAAGGGGAAAGGAGAAAATTTAAGAGATGAACATTTTTGTTGCTGTCAGTTTTCGAACCTGGAACCTATTGAATGAAAGGCGAACACCGTAACCTCTAGACCACGAGCCCCCCTGGGGAGGAGTCTGTGAGTGTGTGTGGTTCTCAAAACGCTGACTTCTCGAACAGTTCAGACATATTACGTGTTTTACCTAAAGAAAGATTTGACTTGCAAGGTGATAGTAGATCTATGGGGAATTTAAGCAGAAGCGCAGTCGAATAAAGCACGCCATCTACTGTCGTGAATAAAGCATTCTATGTACTGTTATAAATAAAGCATTCAATGTACTGTCGTGAATAAAGCATTCTATGTACTGTTATAAATAAAGCATTCAATGTACTGTCGAGAGTAAAGCATTCTATGTACATAAAGTATCCTATGTACTGTCGAGAATAAAGCTTTCTATGTACTGTTGTAAATAGAGCATTCTAAGTGGGTGGTTGACGGGTGCTCTGGTGTGGTTTGCTTCTTCATTCCTATCAAACATCTATCGTCTTTATCCCCCCTCCTTCTTTTCTTGTTTTTGTTACTCCCTTGTAACACCTCTAATCTTCGGCACTGATATGAATTTATTGTATTGCAAATGCCGTAAAACTCTAACTAAAACTAAAAAAGCATTTTATGT